TCCTCTTGGGGCGGCGGGGTCCGCGGTGCGGCGGGGGGGGGGGGGGGGGGGGAGGGGGGGGGGGGGGGGGGGGGGGGGGGGGGGGGGGGGGGGGGAGGGGGGGGGGGGGGGGGGGGGGTAGAGGGAGCAAAACCACTTGGAAAAAGGGACGTGGAAGGATGTTATGAGGTACCGAAAGCCCATGGACCAGAACCGCCCGGGATGAAGGGCAGAAGCTGCTTCCCCGGTTCCAGTCAGGGACCTCAGTCTGGAGCTCAGCAAAACTGGGCCAGCCCTTCTTTGGTCCCGGGGGGGGGCTTCTGGGACGGCATCGAGTTTGGAAAAGAGTCTCCTGCATAGTTTCAGGCGGCGAAGGTGCCTTTCCAGCGGAACATGGGACCCAAGCAGGGAAATGGCCCCACCCAACGGCAGAGCGGTCGCAGGGGACCCGGGAGGGACCCTGCCGAGGAGGCCACGCCCCCTGGCACCTGAGGTGCAAACCCCCCCCCCCTCTCCTGGCATTTGGGAGGGTGGCGCACCCGTCTGTGCAGAAGGAAGGCAGAGGCCTCCCTTGGGCCCAAAGAGAACCAGGCTGTCTCTGAAAAATTACGTTCCAAGACGCCGCCTGTAAGTTGCTGCCTTCTGGGGGCTGCAGAGACGGAGGATATGTTGAAACGGGGCCCCTCGCGGTTGGAGGAGAGGAGCGGGGGACACACGTAGCTGTGGTGGAAGGGGGGGGAAAGCTGAGTTGGTGAGGAGTGAGGATCGAGGGACACCCGGGGAGCATGAAATGCTACCAATTCCACATCCCCAACCTCTGCACCCTCCCAGCCGTGCCCTGCCCTGCCCTCCCTAGAGATCGCCCCACCGCTGGCCTTCACATCAGGCTCTTCCTGTACTGAGGCAGCAGCAGGCTCTGTGGGGGAGCAGGTCTGGAGAGCCGCAGCTGTTGGTAGAGGCTCCTCAGTTCTCTCACCTCCTGCAGCACTTTCTGGGCTTGGCTCCAGCTGGAGGAGGCCTCGCCCAGCAGCCTCTGGATCTCCTGCAAGGTGGCCGCCGAGTCCAGCTTGGGCGAGGAGGGGGCACAGGCAGAGCCGAGCTCCTGCGCCTTCCGCAGCCCCTCTCCCCCGTAGCCCCTGGCTTCCGCCAGCAGGCCCTGCGTCTTCTCCAGCTGCAGCGCCACCAGCGCCTGTATCCTGGCCAGCTGCTCCGGCTCAGGGGAAGCCGCTGGGTCCTTGAGGCCGGTCCTCAGCGCTGGCTGGCCGGCTGAGGGGGAGTCCCAGCAGGAGAGGATTTCCTCCATGGAGGCGCATTTGTTCTTCTCCAGGTGAGAGAGCTTCTTGGGGACCTGAGGGGTGTACATGGTCCCTCTGCCAAAGGGCTCCCTGTGGGCGGAGACCTTCTCCCCGGACAGGTCCTTCCTCCGCGGGAGGCTGCTTGCCTTCTCCGAGTCCTTGGCCTCCTCTGAATCGCTGGAGCGCCTTCGGCCGGGGGAGAAATGGGCGGCCGATTTGTCCACCCGGAGACTCTTCTCACAGGGGTCTTCTGGGGAGGCCTCCTCCTCCTGGATCAGGTCCAGGGTCAGCATCCCGTCAGAGGTTGAGGTAGATGCCTGCAAAGGCAGGAGAGGGGGGGGGGGAGCATGTGTGAAGAAACCTCCAGGAAGGGTGGAAAGAACCACGGAAAAGGGGTTTTGGTGCCAAAGTACGTCTTGGTATCAGTTTCCATATCCTGTCGCCGTTAACAGCTCCGAAAAGGTCTGGCTGAATCGGCTGAGTCGGAATGGTGGACATGGAGTGGGCAGAAGCGGCTGCAGCTTCCTGGGACCGTCCGACCTTTGGTGACTCGAAGGGAGTCACGATGAGGAAATGCGGACCCGTCCCAGCCCCCCCCCCAAGAACCCCTCTGCCCCTCCTCTCTCGGGGGGGCGGGGGGAGCAGACGTGCTTGTGCTATCGCCATCGGAAGGGGAAGCAGCAGCAGCAGCAGCAACAGCTCGGCTGGCTGAAGGGGGGTCTTCCTCCCCTTCCTGCACTTACCACGGCCATCAAGTGGCCTCTGGTCGGAGGCCGCCTGGAGTGCTGGATCTTGGCTCTGTTCCGAGTGGGATGGGCCAGAAAGCTCTCCTCCTCCACCGTCACCTGGAGAGCGAGAGAAGCAGCCATCAACCACCACAATGCCAGGCACGCAACACGCCTAACAGTGCGGCTAACTGGGCTTTACTTGATAAATGGTGTGAATGGTTTAACTCCCGGGAGAAACGATTCCCCCCACCCATCCACCCGTCTCTACATCCAATGGTTCAGACTGCAGCTCTCTGGCCTATTCCTCCCCATCGGCCAAAAGGAAAAGGTTCCCTCCCCAGGAACCTCAAGGACAGAGCGTTTCATTTGTGAGTTCCCTACGTGGCAAGAAGAAGAATTAAAAGTATCCCTGAATGAAAGCAAGAGTGTGCATCTCCAAACCAAATTCTCCCCCATCTACTTTCTCCTCTTTTCAGCCACCCCTGCAAGATGGGGGGGGAGGGGGGCTCTTCCCTCCCCACTCAGGTGAGGTCTCCTACCTTCTCCCCAAGCCCACTTCCACCACCCCCCTGCCACCCCTCCCTCTTCGTTCTGAGAACGTAAAGAATCCGGGGAGGCGTTTCCCAAGCCAGCAACAGATCCGCTTTTGTTACTTTCCACTCTTTCATTTGAAGCGACCATCGCTTCCCTCTCTGCTTTGAAAACCCTTAAAACCATCTCTCTCCCCTGACAGATCTTCCCCTCTTACAATGGAAAATTAACTCCCCCTTCTATTCTGCTGCCCCTTCTCTACAGACCATCAGGAGGGCAGACAAAGAGAAACCTACTCCACTGCCCTCTGTTGCTCCCCCCCCCTTATTTTCCCTGCCCCCAATTTTACTTTAGATCGAAAACCTTCCGGCCATTCACAGATCCGAAGGGGGCCTCCACATGCGGCACCAGCAGCACCATCTCCCTCCGCACCATAAGCCTCTGCAAGGACATCCCTGCGAACCTCTTCTCCCTCTTCTCGGATTATTGCCAGAATTAAAGTGAAGGGGAAATCTCTGCCACTCTCCCTTTTCTCTTTTCTTTCCTCCTCCCAGGAGAGATCGAGCCAGAATGAACTGAAGAGCGACTGATGTGCCTGGCCATGTGCAAGCAGGAAGGCCTTCTGAGACTTTCAACCTGGACACTTGAGAACGGAGGCCCCTCCGCCAGGCCCCCCCCCCAAGCAAGCACGGCCTTTGCACCAGGGGTGGGCTGCTACCGGTTTGCACTAGTTCAGGCGAACTGGGAGGGGTATTTTGGCCTTGGTCGCCCAAACTGGCAGCGAACCAGGCTGGCCACGCCCCCCCCCCCCGAACAGGTTCCCTGGTTGCCGATGCTGGCATGTTTTTTAGTGATATTTTCACGTTCTGCACATGCGCAGGACAATTTAAAGCCAACTGCGCGGGCGAAGCGAACTGGCGGCAACCCCCTCCCCCCTGCTTTCCCCACTGCCTGGGACCCCCAAAGGCGCCTGGGCCGTGGGCTGAAGAACAGCCAGGCGAAAGGGCACCAGGGGTCTCTCTCTCGCGCACAGCTTTGGGCTCCTCCTACCCGGCCCCAGATGGGGACACTCTGGAGAGGCCAGTGGGCCAGGACAGGCCGACTCGAGAGCCCGGCTGCTCACCTCATCCAAGATGCGGTTTTTGGCCCGGATTATGGCAGAGTTGAGCACATTGATCCAAGACTCCTTTTCTTCGGGGCTCACGGCCAGGAAGACGAGATTGGGTGCCTGAGAGAGAGGGAGGCATCATCGGCAACCAAGGAGGGGCTTACCCGCCTCGCTTGGCCCCCGTCCAAGATAACATCCGGCAGCATTCGCAGCTTTGGGGTGAAGGAGGAAACAGTGGCCTCCTCTCCACTGCCGCCTTACAATCGCCTGCAACCGCTTATCCCGGCCACCCCCAGGGGTGCTGGGACTGCAGTGCCCGAAGGCAACGGGAGCCCAAGGCACCTGCCGCTTTTCAAGAGATGGGCGGCCACATCAAGACGACACAGACATAAATAAAACAAAACAGATCTGGGGAAGAACTGGAGGGGAAGGCTGCTCTCAGCAAGGGCCTGGTGGCCTTCCAGACCCAGTGGAAAGGAGTGGGGTGCCGCCAGGAGATGGAGAGGGTGGAAGCCCTCAGGCCACTGACGGCTGAAGGGGGATGGGGGGGGGCTGCCCTATTCCTGGAGAGGAAGCCGGGAGGGATGGGTTAGCCGCAAGGCCAATGATCGGGTAGTGAGATCAAGGGGAGGAAGCCGCCTGCAGGTCCTGGGCTGCATCACTTCACAAGCCCCCATGCGAAGCTGCCGTGAACATGCAGAAATTGCTTTCCAGTCAGAGGAAATACTATCCGAATTCCTGCTGATGGCCCAAGGAGGGGAGGAAGCAGCCAGGGGGCCTCTGTCTGAAGAGCAGGCGCAATGGTGGAAGGGAGAGAGAGGCCCAGACTGGGTGCCGTTCAGCCCTCGTCCAGGGGCACCTGCGGCTGCGTCGTTCCCCCTGAAGAAGAAGTGCTGCTGCCGGGCACAGCCAGCGGCTCCTTCTCTGCAGGGTCTCCAGGGCTTGGAAGGACAGAGGCTTCCCAGGATGGCCACCCCCCTACTCCCAACCGAAGGCAGGGGCCTGTATGCGCAGCCAGGAGGCAGGGAGGGAGGGGGGCAGGCGTGGGGGCGCTTACTGTGTTGCCAGGCTCCTTGGAGTGGGCGAGGGAGAACTTGCTATAGTTTTTTTTGCTTCTGCTTTTGGACTTCCTGAGCTCCTCACACTTCTCGTAATCGTTCAAGTCAAACGCCTCCTGGATGTTTTTCTCATCTCGGAGCTGCGGACAAACAGATCACAGGTTTACGAGGGCAGATACCGCCAAGGAGGTCACGATGACGGACTCTTTGCACTCATTCACCACATCACAAACACACGGAGAATTCTAGTTCCCAACACTGGCATGAAAAAGAACCCCACCCCCACCCCCCACCCCCGGTTGAGTTTGGACAGCCCCTCCGTAGCCCCAGGACACCCGGAGTTTTTTCTTGGCTGGGACAAGAGAGCAGACGCCGCCTTATTAGCAACACATCCTACAGATTTGCCACAGGGGGGGAAGGAACGTAATTTCTCAGAAGACTAATTAACCTAGGAAGGATAAATGGACAGGAAATCTGAGCTGCCTGCCTAGTAGGGCTTAATGGGGTTCCAGCTGGTATCAAGTTTGCATTAACTAAAAGTTTAAAGGAGAGCAGTTTTAAGCCACGAGGGCTGCTTGACGGACAGCCCCTCTATGCTGGCGGGGGCCGCTTCCTGGGCAAGGATGAAGGAGAGGCACCTCTTCCGGGAGTGATTATAATTAGTGCTGGCATTAAAAACAATGAGCGTTTTTCCCTTTTGTTTTCCAGAGTGAAAGCAAAAATTAAAATTCCCACTCTAAGGATTCCGCTCTCATTCTGCCTCCATAGTCCTGCACCCACCAGGGGGATGAGAGGGGCCACCCCAGGCTGCCCAGAGACCAGCAGGAGCTCAGCGGCCTCCTCTCCCCCCCCCCCTTAGCCCCTTTCCAGCTGATCGTGGCTATCCGATGACTTGCAACCGGAGCTCATCCCCTGCCTGCATGGCTAATGCCGCCTTCCTTTCCCTACCAGCCAAGCCCTCGTTCGGGCTCAGGGTAATCAAATGCTGGAGTGTCTCTTCTGTGAAATCTAAGCAATTCCTTTGGCCCAGGAGGAGTTGAGGCACAACTACCAGAGTAGCTGAATAGCAGGTAACAAACTGTGT